ATTATTCAAGTGCAATATTTTTGAAAGGATGTGAGTTATCTGAGGTGCAGAGAGCATGAGCTACTCAGCTGAAAATACTGTAAATCTGTGTATCAGATCTGACATACTAACTGCTATTTGTTAAGTGCTCTTGCTCTCTGCTTATTCACCTCAATTAATTCACTAGTGAAATGTGGCTGTCTTCAGAGTGGTAAGGCAGCCATTCCCAAACACCCTTTTGTCTCAACTATAATTTAACAATGTTTCTAAAAGCTCAGGCCAAGAAACAAGGAGTGAAACTGCAGGAAGTAGAGATTGTTTTTAACCTAGTAGTGGGATCCCATTTTAGGGCAATCTGCTCCTCCAGAGTTAGATTATTGGAGTTGAAATTCAATGTGTTATTTAACAGATGACACTTCCTACTATTTTAAATATGCTGAGTGGTTGCATCAGCCAATTTTTATAGTCATCTCATTGGCCATTCCTCAGAGCTCTCTTTCCACTCACCAGTAAATAAAACAAGAATTGATGAAACGGTCTGCTCAAGCTGCGTGGCGGTTTGTATTAATTTATTTCTTTTGTAAGGAAGGAAAGGAACTAGTTATGGAAAATAAATCCCTGTAAGGACCTTGGCAGCTTCCTTTAGACCTGACAAAAACCAATCAGTGTCTGATTTTTAATACTGACACATTGTTATACCAACGAAAAGGTTAGATGTGCCTTTGTGAACACACATTTTGACGCGGACAAACCCCAGGAAGGTCTCTTCTTTCCTGTGCTTGATGCAGAGGGAGGTGGATGCCTGGTCCTGGCTGGGTGGGAGGCTGCCACAGGGATGGGCTGGCATGGCCCTGTAGACAAGCCAGAGCAAGACAGAGCAAGCCAGAGCAAGACAGAGCAACCACCATGGCTGTGGCTGGGCCCTGCTATCCTGGCCCAGGGCCCCAGAGCGGCCACGGAAAAGCTTTCCACTGTAAATAGCTCCCAACCACGACCCAGCAGGGAACACATGACCAGCCACTGCCTGGGCAAGATATTCACTCTTTCAGGGCACATATGAGACCTGCAGACCTTCCATCCTCTCTCTCGAGTGAAAGAAAAGGACAGAGATGAAGACACGCACAGAAACAGCATGGAGACACATCAAGGCCAGACAAGAAGGAAGAGTCAAATCCCAGTTGAGAGAGGGGATAAGAAGATGTCTTGGGCTGAAATTCTCTTGTAAGCTAGGGAGAAGATATCATTGACAAATCAGACTCTTGTTTTCCCTGTAACTCGTGAAATGCATACGGGGTGGATTAAATGTTCCAACTGTAGACATAAGCAGAGGCATTTGTGTGAAGTAAGCAGATGTTGAAATAGCTGTGATCTCATGAGGAAATTTGAATAGAGGGAGAGAGAGAAAAGTGATGGAGAACCTTTGCCCCCAGGGAAGAAGAGAGAGGCCTCTGTTCTCAGAGATGAAGAGTTAGGCTTTTGAACTGCTATATCCTTAAAGTGTGCCCCATAAGTTGACATGGCCCATAAATTCAGCTGTGGGAAGGCTGAAAAAATGGGAAGGATTTCATGATTGCAGGTTTCCCAGGTGGCTGCTATTCGTGGAAATTGAAATCATGAGACTTCAATTTTTGGTTTTTTTGTGGAGAAGTCTCCATAGACTGAAGAGAGAGACTCTTCTCCCTAAGTAAATTGGAGAAAGACTATTTTAGAGATGGTAAACTGACTGATTTGTTTCTGTACGTTGTCAGTGTTAAACAAAAGAATGTAGGAGAACTGTTCTGAACGTTTTATTCACATTCTTATTATTTTTTCTTCTAGTTTCTGTTAATAATTTTCTTTATACCTTTCAAAGTTTGAGCCTGTTTTGCCTTCCTCCTAATCCTATCTCACAGCAAGAAATGAGTAAATAATTCTAGTGGGTGCACTGGCAATTTAGCCAGTGCTAAACCCGCTACAAGCAGTCATAGTTAAGAAAGAAATACCCTAAATACGTCTAAGGTAAAGTCCAGAAACCTGAAATACTTTATCTGCCAAACCATAGAATTTCCTATCCAGGTGGAGGTATGTGAACTACTTTTTAAACCACTTTGATTGGTTCCTGTGATCTATTACTTGTCTGAACTGTGTATCACTTCACTGATTTCTGAAAAATTAAATTTTTTAAAGTGAGCTGCTTTTGAACAATGTGACAGCACAAACATTGTTTCAATATAAAACAATATGGGAATAATGTCATTATTTTTCTACTATCTGTATTAGAAAATAAGCATCCACCCTTCTCAGTTCTACTACATATACATTAGAGTTGAGAAATGGGCACTTCCTTCTGAATTTTTTTTGCATTTTATCTCCAATCAGCACAATAGGACTATTCCCCCTTTGTGCTTTTGCAACTGCCTGTGCTGGCAGGGCAATACCTGCCTAATCTGGGGCTGTAGAATCAAGCTGTCCATTGCCATGCGGTTTCCAGGCACTCATTTAACATTACAGATGTTTCTGAAGAAATGTGAAAACGTATAGAAACTTGTTCTCTCAATGAGGAGAAGTTACCACCTTGGGCTTTAACTTGTCTCAGCGAACAATTCTCAGTGCTAGGGCTCTTTCAGCTCCATGGTGAGCCCTGCTGCAAGTGTCAAATTGTCACTTGCTACTCCGCATCTCTAAGAAATTTCCATTTCCTTATGTCTCCTTGTACAAAGTACTGCAAATCAGAGCAACGGAAGAATAGCTTTAAGTCAGCATAACTCGTGCTGAACAGCAGTTGAACAGCCTATGAAATGAAGATGATCATCAATATTACATGAGACAGATGAAAATTACCCCGAGGTACCAGGGTGCTCCCAGAGTGTTTGTACAATGTAGGTGGTTACTATACAAACAGAACAGCCTGGTAAGGATACGAGGAAGAATACCAGAATAAATTAATATAAGTAAATCAGTCATCTTTTAGTCTGTAGGACGTTTAGTGCTGAAGCCCTACAAAACTGAATTGACTCTTTCTGAATTTGCTCAAAGGTAATCAAGAACATATAGAAAGATCACAGTCTGCAGATATTTCAATAATTTTATTTCCCTATTCCAGATTTTTTCAAGTTTAGCATCCAATACTAATCAGATAGGTCATTCAATTGAAAAAAGAACATTTGCCTTCTATTTACATGGAGTGACAGAGAATCTCAGAAAATAATTACCCTTCTAAAATAATACATTGCCTAAAATTTGATTTTGCAAAAACAACTTGTGACTGATACTCTTAATGAAATGGTTACAAGTCCTCAGTATTTTGTCACTTCATATATTCACATCCATAAGTGAGAAGGGTGGACAGAAGAACGGCTACCACCATGATTCAGCAACAGTTTTCAGTCTTCTTCTCCCCTTGTCCCAAGAAGGGACAAAGCTGCAGAAAATCAGGCCTATCATCTTCTGTGCAGCAGAAACCAATGCAGCTTTTCAGTACAAAACAAAGAGTTCAGACAGGCTGATTGCACAGACTGCAGCACAAATGCACGCAGTTAAACATCCCAATATCCACTGAGGGGAAGGCAGAAGGAGAACATGCTGAACCATGGCTCGGCTCTTTTACACTCCTTTGCCACTCACAGACTAACAACAGAAAGGGAGAAGCAGCACACTTGCACACGATCAAGAAAACCTGGGGGCTGAACAGCAAAGCTAGAAGCCAGCTGTGCTCTTTTGCTTTCTCATGTCTTTATTATTAAGGCCATTTCATTGTTTCTCCTTTTCTCACCGCCAAACTCCACTTGGAAAAGAAATGTCAGCCCACAAATGCAGCGATTTGGCACAGCTTGAGGAGAAGACACCTGTGACATTTTATCAGGGCCACAGCCCTGTGTACTGAGCATCACACATAGACAGCAAGTTTCCCCATTATATCTGCTCCCCTCTAGTTCTGTGTCCTATGCACTTCACAGAAAGGTCTCTGCCACCTGCCTGATCCTCCATGCCAGTTCTAGCTGGACCTGGCACCTCTCAACCAGATACATCTGACGCTTGGTTCCACAGAGAAATTATGACTTGATGGATGCCTCATAACTGTGTCCTCAATTTAATCCTGCTAGAAGTCATTTTTCTTTGACTAGTTTCAAGGAGTTTTCCTCCCTCATCTGCCACATAACCTGATGTGGTATCTAATTTCTCCAGGTAGGAGAATTCAACCCTATTTCTGCTATGTTTTTGCCCACTCACAGTTCCATGTCTATAGAGCTTGACCTAAATATCCCTCAGCTACTTTACAATTTGCATTTTAATTTGAATAAATCTGTGCAGTGTATTTATTTATTTTTACTCTTTCCTGCAGTGGAGGTATTGTTGTGACAGAGCACACCAGTAAATCACACCCAGTATGTCAGGCTCCTTTAATTCCAAAGAGATTCCTTATTCTTTGCTGCCTATTGCCATTTCACATGTAATTTAAAAGCAGCAGGCAGCAATTGAACTCTCAGATCTCATTAATACGTACAAGTCCTTCCAACAGAAAGAAGCAGACTAGAGACTATTTCTTCAAGGTGATGGCCAAATGTGCCAAAGTTGCCTTTGATTTATATTGCCACTGATGCTTTACAATCACATTGCTTCTCTTTATTTGCATGCTGTATCTGTTCTGCTTTATATAATGTCTCTGTGTAAGAACACTATGACAATCTAGCAGCAGCCTTTCATGCTGTGCAAGTTCATTTTTCAATTCTGTTTTATGCCTGCCTTCAATAATTAACTCTTCACATAAACTTCATAAACTTCATAAATTACACCAATGAAGTACAACCTATACTGAAAGTATACTGGAAGTTTTAATGTACTACCCATCTTTGTAGATAATTAAGCCTTTTGTACTGAGACCAGTAATCACAAAATACATCAAACACAGTTAGGTCAACAACTATATATCCAAGAACTCAATTGGAGAAAAAAAAAAAAAGAAAAGAAAAAAAAAGAGGGATAGTACTAAAGTAATATCCATGTTTTAAGAAAAGTCTCAACTTAACTCTCCAACTGCTTACCTCTCCTTGCCAGATGGGGTTAACAGTGTTACACATGATCTTAGATCTTTTCTCCTGTCCATGATGAGGAAGGGCTGGGAAGATGCTATGTTTTCCAGGCTGAATGGAAATCTTCAGATAAGGATCCGGATTGAAGAACATCCCTTTCTTCAGACCAAAAGCCTGGAAATCTGAAAGAAGATAAAGAATCTGATTATTTTTCACATTCCAGGCATCTCTTTGGGATGCTAGGAACAACATATAGGGAATTGGCAACGAACTCAAATAATATGGCAGGAATGTGAAAAAACTCACTGTGTTTATTGTGAGGCAATGTAATGCCAAACCATAATGATCTTGTGATTTAGGATTTACAAATTATTACATAAAGAAACTGCAAATTTACAGTCTGATTGTGCCGACTGATTCAGATTGCTCAGCCTGACTGCAGTGGAAGGACCACTCTGAAAAAGAGGTCCCATCATTTAATGTCAAAGTCATGGCATTTGTACCCAATGGATGCAATTTTTCCTAGGTATTAAGTTTACCACAGTACAGGTCCTAGATTTTACACCACTTTTCTCTACATGAGAAGAAATTTTACATTTTTTCCCACTTTAAGTCATTTTCTTCCCTGCATGGGTTAATTTCACTTAAGAAAAACTCTAGTCTATAATGTCCAAATTTTAAGCAGGGCTTTACAACTGCAGAACTCCCAGGGAGCATAATATGTGTTGCACACACAAAAAATACCCAGCCAATTATTTGAAAATTTCCCCATAACATTCTGAGGAAAGACACAATGCCCATTATGATCTGTCCCTGTGAAGCTGATGAAATGCAAACTAATCTGCTGGTATGTCATTAATTTTGGCTCAACAGACACTGACTAACCCCTCCAGTCTTCTCTTTTTTCAGATGCATTTCTAAGCTTTCTTTGGAACATATAAGCATTTATTCCTATTAGTGAGTTCAGCAGTTAATTTACTTTCCACCACTCTTTGCATGGAGATTCTCCTCTGTTTAAAGCTTTATTTCACATCGGGCTATAAGCACTGGACTGCATTCTGCCTATTTTCTCTTGCTGTATTGGAGAGATAAAAAAGTATTAGGCAAAATTACTTCTAAGACTGCATAGATGCATACCTAAACAATTTAAACACATTTTTTTCTTTCAGCAGTTTTTGAAAACATTAATTTTCACAGTCTTCTAATTCTCTTCTGATTAAAAACCTAATTATTCCAGCAGGTTCTGGGAGACCATAAAAAGCCCTCAAGGCAGATATTTTGGATGACTCTGAAAATCATACACATTGCACACCATCATCAGTATTTTCCAGAAAATAGCTATATCAAACCCAGTTGTGTGTTGCTTCCTTAACATATGGTAATAGCCAACACAATAAAACGTGCAAGTTAAAAGGAATTGCTTTTCTTTCTGTTGGTTTTAATCATCTATTCCACCACACAATTCATGTTGCAGATATTCAAAAGCTAATGGACAGATGGTCCTGAAACAGACTGTATTTTAACAATCTCATTCTCGAGACATTCTCTAACAATTAACAAAAAAAAAAAAAAAAGAAAAAAAAAAGAAGACATCACTAGTAAGAGCTTATTTGAAAGCACATTGCTGAAACTATGTACTGCCACGGTCCTAGCAATGCTATCACACAAAGAAAATTATCTGCTTCAAAAAGAAAACACTGATTTTTTTTTACCCCCTTTTCTTGTTTTCTGTGTGCACAATCTCTGTGTAACCAGCATGTATCTCATTTAACAGCCCTGCTGAAATCCTATATGGGAAAATCTTCTGCTTTGGAAGTTCTACTGTTAGAAATGCATTCAAGAAATAGAAATCAAGATTGCAAAAGGAGTATGAATGACAAGGGCCAGCAGTGTATAAGTTCAGGCTGCCAACATATGAGAGAAAGACCTCTGGGATCTTATTTTCTTTCTCTCTGACACTTCCTCAAGGAGTCTGAAACTGAAATATTCATTGCTATATATGTTTTTGATTTTTTTTTCCTTCAAAGAGAGACCATGCTATCTTTGGGTACCACTGAATAACAAAATAGTCTATTGATAGAAAATACCTAGCAATCAATTACGTATACTTATATATCATGTATCATAAAGAAAATATATTTAGGATGACCTACTGGCCTCTTTCTAATTATGGGAATCAGAGCACAGCCATGAAGATGAAGGTACTCTTAGCCTCAATTAATAATCTCATTTTTGTATTCGTATGAGGGGAAAAAAAGTAATTCCGCTAAGCACATGGGATGAAATTTTATTTGTGTAATTTTCTTGCTGAAATTAGACAATATAACCAATTTTTTTAAAAAGCGAGTTAGAAACTTCAATTTTATTTTCTGAAGTATGAGTAGGGCTAGTAAAAATAGATTTCCCAAGGACAAATATTCCAATTATATATCTCACCACAAATTCTCATCACTGTGAAAAACAGAGCATCAAAACTGAAAAAGGTCTAATAAAGCTACATGGATATCTACATATAAGCAGAATTTCATTTCATTTGAAGCAAAAACCTATCTGTAGATCCTGTAGCTACCTGCTGTAACTTGCTGTTGTAACTCTTACCACTCCAGTATAACTCCCTAACAGAAGAATCACAGCCATTCTGCCTTCCCAAATGCAAATATTTTTCTCTATCATCTTCAGAAAAGAAGGTTCAGAAGATAATAAACTTTTAAGTGAAGGTCTGAAGCTAACCGAATTTAAATCTTTGGTTGAATGAATGAATTCCAGAAGGCTGGGACATACCCTGCTGTACACTGTAATTTTAGAGTGCATTTCTTGGAGGCATATGAGGAAATGGTACAAAGATAACTCATCTATGGTTTGTAAAGGTGTATTTTCATCAAGTCTCTTAAAAAAAGTTATTAATATACCATATGTCAGTTTCTCATTTAGTCATAAATCACACCTTAGTGTGAAAGAGGCTATATACATCTAACACTTTAATAATGTCAGGCCATCTCTCATGACACATGACAGAATGAAGAAATCCAGGTAAATACAAAGTAATTACACTTTCACTGCCACAGACTTGCACTACTTGTAAGTACATGCATCCTGTTTCAGCTAAGCTTTCTTCATTGGAGAAAAACGGCTTGTACTAACTGCTGCTGTCCCCAAGTGACTTATGAATTTGTTCCAACTACAGTCTTTCTATATATGCTGATATCCAGGTGCCTGGATGAGACCTAAGAAAGCCTTACACTGGGTCACTTGCATTAATGTACCCTCTGTCCCAAAGGTGTGCCATAGACTTTCCTGTCTGCTTTATAAAGGATAATTTAGCAAATCTATTTGTCATGCAGCTTCATAAACTTTGGGGCACTGGTGACTGGATAGTGATGGACACTATTTTTGTGGTGAACCAGTCTATTTATTTGAGCCATGTGGGAATGGAATTCCAACAACACAGCTAGAACACATCTGTGCTTTGCAATGTTTGATTTTGCCTCAATACAAGTCATTAAGCTTTCAAAAGCTCAGGGAAGAGTCATGTTTTATCATCCTCAGCAAGGAGATTCTCTGACAGTAATGATAAGTGAAACTACCATAAAGATGTCCACCATAAAGACGTTATTTCAATTCCTCGCAGACATAGCAAGGTATTTGGGGGCACACACATTGAGAAAGCAAGAAAATTCCAGCCTGAAAAATATTCCAGGCCAGAGCTTCTCAGCTCTGTTCCCAGCCTGACAAGCTGGTCCAGCTGAAGGCTAGGGAGAATTTCTCCCAGGATGATTACTTGGTCAAAACAGAGAGGAATTTAATAACAAAGATAGAACACCTGCTGTGGTGTGTGACCAGGCCCTGGGAATGGGGTGTCTTCTCTCTGAACCAATCATCTTTCTTCTGCCCTTGGAGTTGTGAGTCGTTCTATTTAAGCAAGTATGCTTCTGAATAAACGTGTCTCTTTCTTTCCTATCATGAAAGAAGACTATGTAGCTGTGTGTTTATTTCTGCCACATCTAAAGGGTTAATACCCTTTTCCACGGCTACAGGCATTCAACCAGACCCATGCTCCATAAAGGAGCATGACAGAAAAGGATGGAGAATCAGATAGAGAACCAGACTCTGGAGCAGTCTGTTTTCTAAATTAATTATCTTTAGTCTGGTCATCAGTATGTCAGGAGTAAGTTAAGGGAGCTGGAAGCTGTTCTCCCCTAGGGATAAGAAGACTTTGCCAATAGAGTTTTCCTAGAAATAACACACAAAGCTATTCTGTGCAGTTTCTAGATGTGTCTCAAGAAGACTCAGTCCATCCAGTCTCTTGATGGCATATATTCTACTGAATATTCTACTGAAGATTCCAGAGTCTACAACACAGCAGAAGGGTGAAAGACTAGTAAGTAGCAGAGCTACTGGTTTTGAGAAACTGATACTGATATTTTAAAACAGATGGCAAATTCCTTTCAACAAATGCCAATATTGAATGTCCTTGGTGTTCCCAAGCACCATCCAAGTGATGGCAATTGATGTCTTGCTGATATCTATACTGACATTTCTGCAGAGATTATTAACTGTAAGAAATTCTATGGTCAACCCACCAAATTCACATTTTTCATATTTAGTATACTAGCCTCATAATCTCAGGACCAGGAAATGAGACATATTCCTCATGAACCATCTGACCCCTTGAGAGAATGAAGACTTGAGTTATGCCAAACTTGCCCAGAACATACCTAAAAACAGAACTAATGAAGTTAACAGGACACTGGAAAGACCCCAGTGTTACTGGAATGACCACAGTCAGTTTAGATTATGATCTAGCTAGAGGAATACCAAAATGGAATTTATTCTATAATCTGTTCATTAACGGCAGAAAGAAAAAAATACTATCATCCTACTGAGATCCTGATAGTTCATGTATCAAAGCACAATAAACCACCTTCATAACACATCACCACAGGAGAGCTGCTACTAAGGATGTCAATGGACAGCTCCATTATTTCCCTTCAGCTTTCCTTTGTGAATTCCTGAAGTGATATCAGCTCTGGTTCTGACACTGAAAAAACATACTTGAACAGGACTGGTATCTGGACAGAATACCAATGAGGGAAGGTAATCACAAGGGTGCTGATATGTCAGTGTTTCTTTTGTAGACCTTGGACAGAACACGAAGAACCTATCTTAGAGGGCAGCAGTTCATCTGCTGAGCTGAGCTACCTAAGATATAGGCATGGCTTCAAAGAAAGGAAAGACAAAACTCCAAAACTCTGCTTGCTCAAGATTCAATGGGAAGTACCTATGTGCTTCCCCTGGCCTGTCAGACATATGCTTTTAAAGCAACACTTTTACTTAGTCAGTGGAACAGCATTTCAATAGTAAGAGTACAGCAATATTGAATTTATTGAAATACTAATTTGACTCATGAAGCAGTGTATGATACAAAACTTTATTTGGCAATCACCTATTTGGAAGAAGGTGAGCATGGATTTGCAGAAGTATTGCATCTGGTATTAATTACATTTCAAGAAGTAAATATTACATAATTCTTATCAAAGGAAATCAAGGAAGATTGGAAGTTTTAAATCCAACACAGCAAATGCAGATTAATTGAGAAAGATACTACTTAAAGTACAAGAGATAACTGACTTGATCAGCTACTGAATGAGATTCTGCAACTGATGATATGCATGAGGTTAAATAAAGTGCTTCTTTTTGCTTTCAGACATTACATATAGACGGACTTCATTTTTCTTTTAAAATAAAATACACCAAAAAAAATGAAAGGGCTAGTGTAGAAGATATTTTAAGGTCTGAGATTTAAAAAAAAAATATTAAGTGGATCAGATAAATCAAAACGTTTCTGTCATAGGACTCCCATGCAAAATATTAAAGACAGTGAAAAAGAAAAGAAAATATTTTTTCTAGCTGTAAATGCTTCAAAGAAAAACAAAAGGGTGTCTCATTTGTTCAAAAGAAGAGCAGTAGAGATATTAGGAAGAAAATAGGTGTATTAATAAATGAAAAGCAGTAGTGGAATTAATTATTCCAAAACGTCTGAGAGACAGGCTACCTTTTAAATTATTTGCATCAAGAAGGAAAACACAGAAGAAGTCCGAACCATTAATGTGAACACCTTTTCACAGCAAGTGGGGGTTTTTATCACTGCAAGTGATTAACCACTGGAGCAAAGTAACACCTCGGTATCCTCGGATCCTGACTGTCTGTGAGATACATCTGAGCCAAACTCACACAAAGCTCACCATCACGGGGCAAGGTGTCCTGCATTAAACAGGAGAACGGAGTAGTTGAATTCAGAGCCTTTCAAATTGCTAGTCTAGGCATACTTCGTAGGCACAATGTGTACTGAACGTGGTAAAAAGCAGCCTCACCTTGACACAAGATGTGACAAGTAAGAAAAAGGTGTGTGATTAGTAGTTTTACAGTCAGTCACTAGGATTTTTAAAAATGTTGGAAAACAAAGTGCATTATATATCTGCATTCTGAACAAGCATTTCATGCTAACAACTACTGTCATAATGACCCTTAGCAGACCTTACACTATTTTCAGTTGTGATTTATGCTCTTAACTTTTATAAACTGACAAATGTTATTACTTGAATACCTGGTCTGAAAGCCACACAAAAACAACTAACAAGATTCTCAGAGAGGTGTAATGGAAATAAATGCCTGAATGTTTGTGAAATATTCAGATCTTCTGGTAATTTGTTCCCCAAGGACACTTATAAGTAAAGTGTGCAAAACCATGAAATATGTGAAATATTAAAGCCTGAAAAAATTTATTTGGTGCAACATAGAGCTAGGAGCATATTATGTAAACCTCATGATAACACTTTCTATATATACGAGCCAATAAGACTGGTTTTAAGGGCTTTCAGTAAATGCATTATACTGCTGCTAAACCATGAACCTGCAAGTGAAGTAGCTGGTACATCTTGGGAAGCTTAGCATATTTTTTTCCTTCTGTACTTCATGCAAGAGAGCTCTGACACTTTTCAGCCACCTTATCCCAAGTGTGACATTCACTGGTAACAGCAGAAAAGGCACATTTGGAAGGTAAATGTGAAGTGGACTGCAGTTTTCCTTAAAGGTTTTTTCATTTTAGCTAAATTAGGCTTAAAATATTTCTCTTGGTATTTTAAATAATGAAAGCTATAATAATACAGTCATAATAAAAATTATTAAGAAGCTTAAACACAAGAAATTCTCTTCCTTGAGATCAGTGTTGTCAATGAATCTATTACTCTAACCCGCCCTTTCACAGGACCAACTTCCAGTCTTGAAGGAGGCAAACATGAAGTAAAAAAACCCTCCTAGTGACATAGTGCAGACTCTCTGCTATTTCCATTGTCAAGAAGCTAGTCATATTCTTGTGCCTTGAAGGATCATTTTACACCTTTTTCATTGTTTGACATTTTTATTCAATCCAGAAATCTTTTCTCAAAAAAACCCTCCAGTGAAACAGTTGGATTTTGTCCAACCAAATACTTAATAAACTACAGAAAGAATAAAGCACCTTGTCAACAACTTTAGAAAAAAACACCCTGTTTTCACACAGTTCATTTTAATATAGGGTCTCACTGGATTCTCTCAGAGAAAACAATACAAGTCATCTGAAATACACTCATATTGTTCAGCATATCTTGTGATTTGGCCTACTCTGAGATTTTTCTCTCCCACTCTAATAACTTTTCCTTCTTATAAAATTATATGGCAGAAGGCATAGCTCTTCTCGTGCTCTTTAGATGACAGACTGCTTAGGGCATGATTCCTCTGTGTTGGCACAATGGGCTCTAGTCACACTAATGACACTCCAGCCACTTTTTTTTTCACTGCAACTGAATCAACCATAATTTGAAAACCTAACTTTTAAGTAATGCCTGTATTAACTAATGACTGAAGATGACAGTATACCAAAATATAGATATTGAAAAGGAAAACTCTGTATGAGTGAAAAGGACTTGTGACAATAGAGAGGTTACTACTGAGATAGTAGTGCAAATGGAAAGGAATCCCAGTTCCTTCTGATGCCTCTACATATAGATATAGATAAAAGAATAGCAATAACTTTGCTTTGAGAGAGACATTTTGTTGCTCTGGTGTTGACCAAGAAGGTAATAAAAAAATAAATCCTTGTGATGTGTGAATCTCTTCATTTCAGAAAGACTGAAATGGAACTATTTTGATAATTTAGATTTTTGATAAAATAATTGCCGAATTATTTTATCAAACCCTTTTATATACCTGGCTGTGATGATGTTGTTAATATGGATGTGATATATATGCAGATTAATTGCTTGTGAATCACTGGAATAAGATATTCCAAATGTATTATGAGGTATGGTCTTTATATACTTTAAATCAAGCTGTAAATTAGATACTCTAGTTTATAAAAGGGCCCACTGACACCATATTATTTAGCAGTCTCACAAATTACTACTCTTGACACCTCTTGGCTTACTAGGCCAAACAATCTGAGAGAATGAAAAACTGTAACTAGTTCTGGGTCACATTTTCTGTGTGAGATTATTTATGGACATTAAAAAAACATTGTCTACTTTTTTCTGTTGAGCTAAACCTGTGGTTTTATCAATTGATGGGTGGATGTCCAGCGTGCAACTTGCCAAAAGTAAGTAATGTGTTAAAAAAGCCCTGCCCAATGTCAGTCTGATCTGCCATGTATCATATACAACCTCTCAAGAACCACACTGGCTGCCTAATTTGGAGAAGCATTAACATACATCCTTAATAGAGGAAAGCTTGAAAAAAATCATATGGCCAAAACCAATCATATGAGACGCTTGTCCAAGAATTAGACTTTTCACTTAAAGGCCTATGCCTGTAAAATTTTTGAACTAGGTAACACTCTTTACTCTATACTACATGTTCAAAGAATTTCCAAGCCTAGTCAAGCATCTTTCTCTTTGTCTTACAGGAGATAAAAAAATATGGAAACCAACCAGCAAGCATAAGACTACAAAATAAGAGTCATGCTCATAAACATTTGTTATAACAATGGTTATAAGATAAGCCATAAGTTTGTCTCTTTTGACAAACTGGTTTCTGTCTACAGATGTGATTTATATATTGTTCTTACCAAAGCCAGATCAAATGGTTCACAGCTGTTAAATGGAAACATATTAAGCCTTTAAAACCTGTAGGGACATGTCAAGTAATGAGGCTGAGCATTCTTCATGAAATGCAGATAAGTGAGGACAGTCTTCTGGCTCAAGAAGTCTGGGAGTCACTTTTGAGCAATACAGAGAGGCTTCTGCACATGGATCTGCCTCAGGTCCAGACCATGACTGTGGAATGTGCTTCCCAAGGAACAGAGTACTACCACAAATCACATTTTGCTCTGTAAATAAAACTCATGCCTTTGATCTTGCTTTCCCGGACCTACATATCTAATTGTAAACAGAAAAACCTAATATGGCCCCAGAAATCTACTTGAGCAAGCTACTTCAGCATGAAACTCTCATCCAAGGAAAGGAGTGTGGCAATAATCGTAGATATTTATTCTCTGTCTCAGCATCACTTCTAGAGCAACAGACCAAAAACCCATGCATAAATATATACAAACATATACTTACACACTCATGTACATGAAAGGTTCTAGTATCTTAAGCCCAAACTCTTTGGGCTTAAAGCTTTCTTACCAGCAGTGACTTACCTGACAATGAAAAACTTATCAGCCGCCGGCTTCCTTGTCCCTGGACTGAGTCTTCATTGGTGACACTTTTAAAAATCTGCTGGGAGATAAAGAATTATGAGAAAGAGTAGTCTCCAACAACTCTTTAACAGAGAATTGCTTAGTAACTGTCTTTTTAACAGATTCTTAGTTAGTTTTACAACTAAGAATTAATTATATGACCAGAGATCAAAACCATGTTTTTATCTAGGTAATCATTTAACCATTAATGGCCTAAGTCATCCCTGCCTGGGAGCTTTCTCCTGAAAAACCAGAATGATGCAAAAATACTACTGTAATTTAAATATAGCAGTTCTTCCCCAAAAAAGGAACTACTTATTAATCAGGAGATAAAAGTAGTACATAAGGACGAGGATGTGGCTATTACCTCTTGAAACAACTTCCATCTTTATAATATCTTATTACTCGTGTGGAAAATCTTATTCCAGAAAGTTTATTGTCTACCTTTGAGAAAAACTTCTGCGAGATTACTAGTACCCTGCAGAAAAAAACCTACTGTGAATTATGCTAACAATATGCATTGAGGGTGAGCTGGGGAAAAAAAAAAATCCAAAGATTACTCTTTGTACTCCACAGTTCAGTTTTTAATTTAATTCTTTGGTTCAGCAAGTTTATTGGTGAGCTTCTGTTGAGCAAATTAGGCCCCAAGCTGCCTTCTGGCTGTGGTCAAAACTGAGAAGCAAGGACACCCATGAGCCAGTGCCTGGGGCATGAGGAGAAGCCCACCACCAGTAGTTTTTGTGTGGAGTCACAGGGCAGAGGACATGCCACCGAGTGTCAGACTCCAAGTTCAGCAGGGAGCTGGTGCTATGAATACTGCTTCCCACCGATTTTGGAGTCAAACCAAGTGCTGCTCTGCCCCCTGGAAGCAGTAGCTCCATGTCACTCTTGCCATTCAGCTTTCAGCCAAAAAAGAAAAACAGCATGAATGCAGTGAAGTTTTATTTATGCAGTGAAGTTCCAATTTCTGACGGGAAACAGTAACTGAAGTCCCACTCAGCTGTGACTCATTGCTCGGTATATTAAATATTGTGTAGTCAGGCTTAACTTAGAAAACAAGCTGCTCTCTGCCCCCAGATAGTGCAAAACCTGGGCAAGTGAGTACTTAGCACAGCTAGCAGGGATTAAACAACCACACATGGATGAGACCTAGATCAAAAATATATGGATTGAATTTAGACAGCCGTATAAAAGAATGGGTTCTGTTAGGCCTGCCTTTTAGTCATAATCACTTTGTTTCTTCCAGACTATCTAAGTGGGATAAAGGTACTGAGCAGGGTGGGACTACGAATAAATTCCAGTGGAAGCATCCCTACTGGATCACAGCTAATTAGTTGCAATTGCACTATTGGCCTTCTCAGCAAAGTAGGTTTCAATATATTTATTGAAGCCACCCCTGATTTCTGGACAGAGACATATTTAAATCAGAATATATGTGACTATGGGAACTTTGTGACAAGAACTCAGCAACCTTTACCAGCCAAAGTTGTGATCCCATCAAGAAACAATGACATTTTCTGGTCAACATATATTTTTCATATTATGTCACTGCCTGATATAAATTACACACTAGGCTTTAATGCTTACTTTTATGGTCTTTTCATGATTTTGTCCAGGATAGTAATGAGGCCAACCAACCTAGATATGCACACATTTGCAAAAGGTATTTTTTCCTAGTCCTTCAACATTTTTCTGGTGTTTTATTTAGACCTGCCATGTATGTCATACATCATGCCAATATGAGTATTTCAGCTGACTACACTTTGAACAAACTGGGGTGGATCTGATGGGGTCCTGCAAACCTGTTCAAAACTTTAAAATATTTGCTATTAAATGACCCTTCAGGGGCCATATCCACATTAGTGAAACTATATTGAGACAGTAATAATAGTGTTGTCACAAATCTTGATAAAAAGCAAAGCATCCTCAGCATGGTCAAACTTGCACTAGCAAAGCTTGCCATTATAAAAGGGAAGTAATAACGCATCCAGTCCCATAAGTGAAACAACAACAAAATAAATTTATTATCTCCTGAAGGGTCCATCTGTTCTGTGAAGCAGGTGCACCCCACAGCGCCCTGTCAAGTGCTCACCACTCAGCCATACAATCAGGGGTACTAAAAGCCAGCCCTGCTGTGCAAATGAGTTCCATCCTCAGTAGCTGACCCCTGCATAACTCTCTGAGATGCAGTACAACATCAGCATGCCAGCAGTTTTGAGAATGCCTAGCAATTAACCTTAGCAAAATGAAACATTTGATGGAAGCTTTTCTGATTTTCTTCCTGGCCAGGTGGATGAGAAAGGGAATGCACGGCAGAAAGGCTGAAGGAGAGAAACTTTTGTCCTTTGGTTTGAGACCTGTGATGCACCATTAAAGGCTTTGTACAACTGAGCCTCCTGTGTAGCTCTACCATCACAAACTTGTGCTCCTCATTCTCCAGTGGTTTGAAGGCATTGCTCTGCCACTCTCCTCGCACCGAGACAGCATCTTTTCACCCTCGATGTGGATCCTTAGGCATGCCAGGGCACATGCCAGAGCAGGGTCAGAAGCAGGCAAAGAATAGGAAGGGTAATAGGAAGACCATGAACGTGATTATACTCTAATACTGGCATTTCAAGAAGTCAGAAGGAACAGCAAGGAAGTAAGGGAGAGAAATCTCCCAACATTAAGTCTGATTTTCTGAAAATAAGAAAAGCTATTTACTGCAGTTTAGATTTACTGTTTTCTAATGCAATACCAGACTGTCCCCAGTAATGAGGACAGGGCTGCACTTGACGTAGAGCAGGGCAAAAGAGGGTGAGTGGTCACCAGAGCTCATCAGCAGCCATACCAAATAGTTTCTTCTTCAAATAGTATTTTCTTTAGGGATGTGCACAGGTCACACTGTTCCTAGCCATTCATCATGAAGGAAATCCAGACTGATTTTAATGGCTGCAATATAATTACATTGGGAGTTTTGGCACTGTAAGTAAACCTTGAGTTTAGTCATCAGGAGGTAAAACCCTTTTATCTTCTCAACTGCCACTTAAAACATAGTTAGTTGACAGACAGACAACATTCATCTCATCACTTGACATCCTATGCGCTTGAAATCCTTCACATGAAATGGAACAAATGTGATTTTCTGTCAATAATTTCTGTGCTTTTTTATGCCCTTGAAGGAAGAGCTCAGTCTGAATTAGCTTGATATTTTTAGTTTATAATGCCATTTTTGCACATTGCACAACCCAGCCCAATTATTTTACAGGTCCTGCTGATACAAAACAGAAATAATACGTTTTTACTACACACTTCTGCTATATCTAGACATGGGACATGAGCTGCAACTTCAAGTCTAGCTGAATCTCTCTCCAAAAACCAAAGACTTCCTGAACTGGGATCAAACCTCCCTTTGATTTCTTTGAATGTAATTAGAGCCAGCATCATTGCCACTGATGTCAGCACATACTTTCAAACAGTTAGAGACGCATCGGTACTTCCTTTTAAGTATTCTCCAGTAAACACACACTGTAAAATCCTCTGGTTTGAGATAGAGTTTCCCAATCTCTGAAGCAAGGCGAAAGATGACTACCAGCACCTGTGATGGCTAACTCTGAAACATGGGAAGGTAATAACTTGAGGCGAGACTGAAGCCTGTTGGGACTTGCTGACCTCAGGAAACAGTCCAGCTTTGGTAGTGCTTTTCATTTTTACAGTACAGAGAAAAAAGAAGACCAAAGGAGAAAACTGAAAGCTAAAAATAACAGTCTTGTCCTGGAATCACTTTTCCTTGTGAGTAGTTTCTGCAAATGCTAGAAGGAAGTTATGTGACCCTGAATGAGAAAGGAGGCAGGTTTCACACTAGCAAACAGTGCCCTTGAGACTCCCTTTCTCTTTAGCCATGGTATGTGTTATGAAAAAAATAATCATCTTGAGAAATCCCAGAGTATTACAGTCCATCAGTTCTTGCTGAGGCAAAATTCCAAGTGCACCACTAAAAATTTGTCTGAGCAGAAAGCCAGGAACAGAGACTTACAAATAATTTAAAATATCTCCTAAAATACCTTTCCCTTCACTAGTCTACCTAAATATGTGGAAGAGAAACAAGGACAGTACTTTTGCCCCTGAAAATAAAGTGGCTTACAGGGCACCATTAGGGTGCCTCTATTCAGCCTCCCTGTTGTTCTAGGTTATGAAGATGAAGCAAATACTTTTGGACACAGGCATGGTGTGAAAGACAATGGTCTGTCCAAACCAGGTCTGGAAGAAACTAATTGTTGTAACTGTGTTTACCTGGTGCAGTACTAAAAAATCTGCTTTTGGACACCACAGTGACCAGTAATAGTGCAGCATGCTGGTAAAACCTCCTTTGCAGCAATAAAATCCTTTTAGTATATTTTCTGTTGTGCAGCACAACTTAACTATTCTTAAAGTCCTGCTGATACAAAACAGGATAAATATGATTTTATTACATGCATTCTACCACATGTAGACACATGCAGACACAGCTGACATATACAAGCACTTACTCCTTTTCCCACACACAGCACGGGAAAACACTCTTATGTCTTAGTGTTCTGTAGCACTCTTCCTCTCCAGAAGGAAGAGGATTTCTGTCCTCCACCGGAAGGAACAGGATATTTTTGGCCACTGCACTCACATGAAGAGATTCAACAAAACTAAGTGAATGTTCTTTTCCCATAAGTAGAAGAAACATCAAGATTAAGTAATCTTACTCTTCACTGACAGCCAAAGCATTTTTGTATCAGTAGCTTCTGCTGCAAAAGAATGGTGACATTTAACTGATAGAAATTACCTCCCACAGGTCAGTATTTCTTCCGTTTAAACAGAGGAGTTACAGGGATATTAAAATCAGTGCTGCACTGCCTTTTTGCTTTCATTGACTTTATATCATGGTGAACATCATGGACATGACCTAATGCTCAATATAATCAAGGTCCCACTTTACAAGATGCTAATTAAAACCTAGAGTATTTTACACTGATAGCACAGAGTATAACTACAGCAATAGCTAACACAGATCAAACAGTCAGGTAC